TAAAAGTTAATAGCTGTTTAGATGGGGAGTTCATTTCTAATCAAATAATCTCAGCCATTTAATTTTTACTAAGGTCAATCTTAGTTTATTTCAAATCAAACAAATCTAGGCAATATATTTTGATAAACCAGTGAATCAGTCAAACTGAAAACGATTCATCCTAATTAGCTAAGTCAAAAGACCAACCAATTTACAACAAAATTAATTAATAAAAACTTAAATAAAATTTAAACCATCTTGAAATGAAATATGCACAATACTACAATATTAAATGGGAGCATAAGATTCACTTTATATAAAGTGAAACAACTCACTTTTTCTTTCTTTTCTCGATGTGTGATTGTAATTATTTTAAAGTTAAATATTATGAGAGTTTCAAAATCTCATACAAAATTATTTTTGAAATCAAAACCTCTATGTGGAATTGTAAAATAAAAGTTAAAAGAAAGTTAGCCAATGGGGATTTTCTTAATTGTTTAAAATTAAGAAAATCAAAAAAAAAAATTGGTATGAGATATTGATCATAAGGTTTCTCACTAAAACTTTCCTTTTGCTTATATAAATGGGAGCATAAGATTCACTTTTTTCTTCTTTTCCTAGTGTGGGATCGTAAAATAAAAATTAAATGGAAGCTAACCAATGAGAATTTATTAATTATTTAAAATTAAGAAGATTCAATCATTTATAGAAATGGGAACATAAGATTCACTTTATATAAGTGAAACAATTTATTTTTTTTCTTTTTTTCCCGATGTGAGATTGCAAAATAAAGGTAAATGGAAGCTAATCAATGGGAATTTTCTTAGTTGTTTAAAATTAAGAAAATTTAATAATTTTAGAATGAGGGTTTGGAGTTTTTAGAAGGTTTCTCCCTCAAAACCCCCTTTATAAGATTCACTTTATATAAGTGAAACAACTCACTTTTTTTTTTTTTTCCTGATATGGGATTGTAAAATAAAAGGTAAATGGAAGCAAGCTATTGGAAATTTTCTTAATTGTTTAAAATTAAGAAAATTCAATAATTTTAGAATGAGGGTTTGGAACTCCTAAAAGACTTCTCCCTAAAAACCCCTTTTCCTTATATAATATATAGATATATTTGTATATTATTTAATTTGTATATCAAATATAAAATCTTATTAAAAAATAATAAGTTGCAATTGCGAAAAAAATAGAAAAAAAAATTACACTGTGCATTTCATTAATAATGCTAAAAAATTTGCTAAGTATTTGTGTAAAGAATTGACACGTGTCCACTCTCAAATTACCAAATGAATATAGATGAAACCAAAGAACTCAGTTTTAATGGCTAACAAATATTAAAAATTCGACCATTGAAGCTAATAACTATTAATTAATAGAATTCAGCAATTGAAAGATCTCAAACCACTTCTTTTTGTCTTCTCAAATGTTTATTATTTATTTATTTTTCTGGTTTATGCATTCATTTTAATATTGATGGAGAATTGGACATGTGGAAGAGTAAGAGATATTAAAATGATATATTAAGTTATGTAATTGTTGTGATGAAAAATAAAAGTTGTCTTCCTCTTCTATGGTGATTTATCTAATTATACCTCAAATTAAAACGTCAAGTGTGCTTCTACATCATCATTGAATGTTGCGTTCATTTTTTTTAGATACTTTGTCTCACAATTGTTTGCATTTTGTATTATGAAATTTATTATATTTGTATTTGCTAAAACTATTAGATGAACTTAATGCAAGAGGTACAAACTATTTCAATGTCATTCTCGGGATTAGAAGTGCAAAAAATGTATGAATATACAATTTTACAAAAATTTGTTTGTGCGTCTCACCTCTTGAACATCCTATAATTCATTTATTTTTTATATTATATTTTATGTTTGGTTTTTATACTTTTTTTTAATGTAGTTTTTCTTTGTTTTCTTTAAAGGTTTATTTTTAAAAATTAATAAATAAATTAATAAATCATTTTCTACTTCAAACTATTTCATTTTTGTTTAGAGTAGTTTTAGTTTTGGGCAATAACATACTCTTTTTTTTTTGCCCCCTATATATTGTAATTTTGTGTATTTTAAATGTATGATATTTTCAATAATACAAATGGAGATGCACTATTAAAAAAATATCATGCGAAAATCAAGTAAGAAAAAAAATAAAAAATAAAACAATACGATAAATGTGGAGCAAAGATCAAAGTTTAAAGATCAAAACTCTCCAAGCAAGCAAGTAAGTAGAATAAAATGTTTAACAATAGACATTTGAATATTTACAACAAAATTTTATAACTTTCTTTTTTGCTAAGAAAATTCTATTTGGTACTAGCTAAATAAAATACTTTTAAATTAGTTTTTATTTATTTATTTAATTTGAAATTAAAACTATAGTAAATTTATATAAACATAATTGCTAACCACATTTTTTTACTTAATGTATAATATTACATTGACTACCTTTTTCAAGTTTATTTTTTTAAATATTTATATAGAAATAAAAAAATATCGTTAGAAATAAATTTTTCTTTAATTTAGTTATAAATTTTACCCATACATTATTTTTAAATTTTGAATGACAAATATAAAATAATTAATTAAAGATATATGCATTTGTTAAATTTTTTTTTTTTTTGTGAAAAAGAAATAAAAATAAATAAATAAATCATAATTCACATATATATACAAATAATTATAAACATAAACCGTGTAGGGGCGGAACACTAGTTACTGAAAAAGCAAATGCGCCTATTTTGTTCTCTGAGCTAATTAACATATAAGCAGTTTGGGCTTGGGCCCTTCTGGTCAAATAACTCTGCCCTGATTTATAAGCAATTGAGTGGATCAATCTTAAGAATTACACTGAAATGGGCCACTTGAAAAATGATGATAATGGGCCATTAAGAGCTACTCAATGGGGGTGATTACAACTTCTTTTATTACTGAAAATTTGTGTCAAGTTTACTTGATGGTATGGTTGCTTCTATTTTTACACTCCATAAACTCTCAGTTCATACAATAATATTTTCTTTTCAAATTTAATTTTATTCATTAGTTAAACTTTTTTTTTTAGGGTAAAAGTTTCTAAAATTTGATTTCTCAATATGCCACCACCACGAATCTCCTCCGTGAACCATCCTACTATTGTGAACTCCTCATTGCAAATTGCCCCACCGTTGCAAACCTCTATCATCATGAATCATCTTTCGCAAATCATCGATATCTCTGTGTCTATATTGCAAATCAGGGTCATTATTCATTTTTTATCACATGCCACCTGATGAGTTGATGAACAAAGTGGCCCCAACAAAGCAAATTGTGGCCATAAATCAACACTACCAGACGATATGGGCCATCCATACCATATTATACACAAATTGACATTGTCCAGCACAACCATGAGGCTTTGCTATAGACAATTCCAAACCTTATTGCCCCACTGAAAATATGCCGTCGTTTCAATGTTTTAACACTAAAACGACATCACTTTAACCTTTCAGATTTCATCAGCTCTTTTTGGGACGTGACTTATAAGAAGTTATTTGTTGGTATTTGGCACAGTCACGTGGTGCCCAAGGTGAGGTTTATAATTTTGTATTGATGATTAAAAAATAAGAGAGTATGAAAATTTATAACCAGCCTGGCCTCCAAAATCAACTACTAATTTTTTACTTCTGAGCACCCTAGGGACGGTTTGATAATATGATTCAATATTTAAAATTGAATTGATTAAGTGATAATTAATTAAGTTTGTTTGATAATTATAATTGATATTACTTAAAAATTTAAATTCCTCTTAAAATATAAGCTAAAACTTAAGTAAATTTTAAGTTATATCAAATTTTAATTGAATTTATAAAAACGAAACATAAGTCTTGATATATCTTATTATAAACTCATTATCACTACCATCATCGTTACTATCACCACTCCCATCATCCAATGCCACCACTGTTACCATCACTATGTCACCGTCACCGCTACCACCACCACCACCCCCCATGACTATCACATCATCACCACCACTGTCATTATCATAATATAAAAATTAATACATATAATTTGTAAATAATAAATTTTAAATTTAATCTTATACATATCTAATAATTTATTTTTAATCTAGTACTTAAATTTTTATCAAATAGCTTTTCAATTTAAAAAATTCAACATTCAATTTTTAATACTTAAACTTCGTTTGGTATTGGCTAATATAGCTAACTTTTTTTTTATGTTGAGGCTTTTTTGGCCTCTTTTGGTTTGAATTTTTTAATTTTTGTAAGAAAAAAAGTATAATAATTATGAGTTGAATGTGATATTTTGTCTTAGAATAATGCTTGGGACCCCCTTTTGGGGGTCACCCCCTCACCCCCTTTGCCACGTGGCGGGTGGTGATTGGAGGAGCAGGAAAAAAAAGAAAAAGAAAAAGAAAATGTAAGAGCATCTCCAACGGTAGTAGGCATTTTACCTATCTAAATATTCCTATAAAGTATATATTTTATTTTGCCTATCAACTGTTTTATGTTTTTACTCCAACCATACTCTTTATTTTAGCTATTTATCCAAATACTATTAATTTTATAGAATGACACGTCAACAACAAAGATGGAGGGAAATAATCCTAATGATTGAATACATTTTGCCTAGCGTTGAAGGCTAGCTACATGTAGCTAGTGAATATAAATTGAGCCAAAATGCCTAATCATATGCCTAGTGCATTGGAATTGAAAAAAGTGAATCACACTAGGCATTTTAACTAACAAGTATTATATGCCTAGTGCATTGGAGATGCTCTAACCAATGAGAGAGAGAGGGGGTCAAAGGGGGTGGGAGGAAAGAGGGGATGAATCATTGCTGTTTGTCTTATTAATTTATTTAGCCTATTTTATCATTTTATGCTTTTTTTAATCCCAAAATGATAGCCAAACAGAACTTAATTTTCAATATTCAGTTTTCAAATTTATCAAATACAATTTTAAATCAGATCAATTCTCTATTTTTTACACATTTTTTTTTATGATAAATAAAAAAATCAATTTATTTAGCACAACCCTTGCTGCTTCCATTATTTCTCTCTCTCTCTCTCTCTCTCTACTACACTACCTTTCTCGGTGGGACTGCTTTCATCGCTGATCTGATCAATATCTTGGTGAGTCTCTCTCTCTCAAATCCACGAATGAGAAATATTCAGGTTATTTTTTTTAAAAAAATAGTTCTTTGCAAAAAACAAAAACAAATTTTTGTTCTTGATTTGCTTTGCGTAACAAATGAATCGACAGTGTTTTGTTGAATCTCCTTTAATTCGGCCAAGCCAACTAATCTTTGATCTCTCATTAAAAACTTCTACAATGTATTATTAGTATTGCAATTTTCTCTGTTCCATTCCCACAATCTCAATTAACACTCCCAGAATCAACAAAAAGTCCAATCTCTCTCTCTCTCTCTCTCTCTCTCTCCAAACAGTATTAGTAGTAGAAAAAATATGAATCACCTTTTGGAGTTATTAAGAATTATATGCAAAACTTTTGTGTTTCTCTTCAGTGTATCATAATGTTGTTTTTGTGTTGATGATTGAGGTAATAATCCTTTTAGGTAGTGTTTGGAAGGTGGAATAAAAATGGCAATTCCGTCATAATAAATTTTTATATTTGGTTCGGTAAAAAGAAAAGAAATTTACACTAGAAATGTAATCACTATTCACCAATTTTTTTATAAAAAAAAATAATCATTTCATTGTTTCGATTCGCCAATTTTTTTTTAAAAAAACTCATTTCATTTATTCGATTCGCTAATTTAAGAAAATGGTCATTCCATTTGTACTTAAAATTATTCTAGCGAACCAAACAGGAGTTTTCAGAAGCACCAGAAACTGACAAAAGTTTTCATAATAACTGTAAAAAAAGAAAAAAGGTGTATATATAATTGAAGTAACGAACAAAATGGAAGACACTTCACATGCTTATGTCTTCATTGGTTTCCTACTTTCATATTTTTATAATTTTCTTTTTGTCTTCATTGTGATCTGCTTGTTATTGGTCTCTTGGAGTGGTATGTATTATGAATTAATCTTTTTTGTTACAGGCCATGGTGTGAAATTTGTGTGTACTTTTATTGGTAGCTCTGCGATAATTCAACATTGAGATTGAGATTTAAGAGAATTAATGGGTGAATCAATTGTAAAAGCACTGAATGTCGAAAATAAGGTACACCCATTTGTCCCTTGGTCAGTAAAAACTTACCCAGTTGTTTCATTTCTATCCAATTATTTCGGATCCGAATTATCTTTTTTGTTTTGGATTTATGATTGATTTCTAATTCGTAATTGCGAAATTCCCATACTCTTTGTGTTTGGTTGTGAGTTGTCAATCTGTTTCTTGCTTGACATTTTGTGTGTTTTGAATTTTGTATCAATAAATTGTAAAAGTACTGAATGTCAAAAATAAGGTACTCCCATTTGTCCTTTGATCAATAAAAACTTACCCAGTTCTTTGATTCCTCTCTAATTATTTCGGATCGGAATTATCTTCTTTGTTTTAGATTTATGATTGATTTCCAATTCATATTTGCAAAATTCCCATACTCTGTGTGTGTGGTTTTGAGTTGTCAATCTGTTTCTTGCTCGACATTTTGTGTGTTTTGGATTTTGCGTTATATACAGATGAGAGAGTCACTTGCCTTATCTTCTCTGTTTCAGATTTATGATTAATTTCCAATTCTTAATTGCAAACTTCTCAACTGTGTGTTTTTGTGAGTTGTCAATCTGTTTCTTGCTTTACATGTTGTGTGTTTTGGAATATCCGTTATATAAAACAGATGAGTGAGTCACTTGCCTCTGGCGCTACCCTGGACCCATCGGTCTCATTCGGTAGGTTTGAGAATGATTTGCTTTCTTGGGAGAAATGGTCATCTTTTTCGCCAAATAAGTACTTGGATGAAGTTGAGAAGTTTTCAACACCCGGATCGGTAGCTCAGAAGAAGGCTTTCTTTGAAGCCCATTACAAGAAAATTGCTGCTCGGAAGGCTGAGCGACTAGAGCAGGAGAAGCAAATGGAAACTGATAGGTTGATGACAGACGATCAAAATGGTGAAGGACATGAAGGAAACACTTCTGGGACTGATATTGAACTCAGTGTAGCCAATGGTCAGAGCTTTGATGAAGGAGATGAGCAAGTCAACAATTCAAATCATAATTGTGTCATGAGTAGCGGCCTATCTGATGTGTCCATTGAGAATGCTACAATCACTATAGAGTGTCGAAGCTCATCAGTCGATGGAGCTAAGGAGGAATCAGATGGCATACCAGATAGCCTTGAATTGAACAAATCAGAAGAAGTTGTTTTGGTTCAAGAGAATGTGAAATTGCCACCTGTTTTGGTTCAAGAGGATACTCCCCTAAATGAACCTCAGGACAAGGTGCAATTACGAATGAAATTGGTGGAGAGAGGCAACAGTGTTGGAAACAAAAAGAACGCAAATTCAGATGCATCAAACAAACCTCAAAAGGTGAAGTTTCGAAATTTGCCAAACCAGTTGGTATTTAAAGTAAAAATATGAACGGAGATATTTTTAAAAATTTCTTGGCAGTTCTAATTCTGTGATTATTCTGATATCTGACATTATTTCATATTGTGGTGTTTAGATGACTCCCACAAAAAAAGAGAGGAATTTGGCAGGAACAAAGAAGCCGGCATCACCTTTACTAAAAAAATCACCACAAATTTCCACCCCAAAAACATCAAAAGCAACATCAGCGTCCACTGTAATATCTGCTTCTCAGACCTCAATGAAAAAGGCAAATGGATCATCATTGCCAAGGAGCGGAAAACCTTATGCAGGACATAGCAAGAACGTAGCTCCTTCATCCCTGCACATGTCATTTAGTTTGGGTCCTCCAAATTCAGAATCAGCTTCTCTTACCACAGCTCGAAAGTCTCTCATTATGGAGAAAATGGCGGATAAAGACATTGTTAAGCGAGCATTTAAGACATTTCAAAACAATTTCAACCAAGTAAGATCTTCGGGTTATGAAAGATCTCCTGGACAAAAGGAGGTTGGTTGTTACTTATTATGTGATGTTTATTATTAGCTTATGTAAAATGCTCATCTGTTCTTCAATATATTGTTAAGTTGATGGTAACGAGTTTTGAATCTTTTCCATTTTGTGCATTTTGATCTCAACCTCTTTGGGCAGGTGTCAACCATGAGGCCAGAGCAAAAGTTGTCGACTTCTTTGACTCCTCGAAAGGAGAATGAAGGGTAATCTGGAATCTTGTTCTCTTTCCTTGGAAATGAATTAGTGCTTGCATATCTATTATTTAAATCTCAGACCAATATGTTTAAAACCTTAAAATTATTATCAGATTTAAATTGCTTAGAAAATTGAAATTTTTTATATTTATAATTTACTAAATAAAAGTTCAGAAGCTAGGACAACTTTTATATTTTTGCCAATTTTGATTCTTTATTGATTCAACCGGTGAAATCAATAGTTTCATACTTGTTTTAAGTGCAGTTTATGACTCCCCAAATCCAGTATATAACTTCTATTCAGTTTACTGAAAGGTTTAATAACCATTTTGTCCCTTGTCTGCATTCTTTCTCACACACTACCATATCACAAAGTTTGTTGGTGGATGAGCATTTAAGATATCTTTGCACTGGTAGATTTTAGATTGTGTTACGAAATCTCATTTGTATTGTTTCCAACACTAATTTAAAATATTTTCGTAAAACTTCAGCATTTTATAATGTTAATAATATTAATGTCTTTGTGAGGATCAAATTGCCTCCAAAAGATTATTGTCTAGATTGTAATCTTTCTATGATGTCATGTTGGCAATATGCAGGCTGCATCAGTGAATGTTTTTGCTGTTTTCTAGTACTAAATTGGTTTACTTGACCTTAAAGTATGAATTATCTAATTGACTTGTAGAATAAAGATGGCGGCAGAGAAGATGGATTCGAGAAGAGGTCAATTGGGAAGAAGTTGGAATTCTCCCTCAGCTAGGTATGATGGTTGACTTTGGTTTATTTGGAAAGGTTCAGATGTCTGATTGTTTGTTACAATAATATGTGTACACTGTTCTTGGGTCTGATATACCGGTTGTTATCGCCACATTTTCCTACGAAAGACATTTTAGTTTATTATGCATGGATAGAAGTTTTCATTGAGGTTGTTATTAAGAATATGTATATACATATGCACGTGTATATGTAATATATTGTATGTAGTTGTAAATTGACTAGCTAATTTGGAAGTTCTGTTAAGTGTTTCCCACTCAATGTTGTTGGTTTACTTAGAACAGGTCATTAAAAGGAGCTGGTATGGATCAAAGGAATGCAAAGCCTGCCCCATCTTCTTTTAGCTTGAGAAGCGATGAAAGAGCAGAAAAACGTAAAGAGGTATGTGTTGACCACCTGTCCTTCCTTTCTCCTATGATCTTTTGTAACATCTTGTAGACATAATTGTGTTAACCATATGTATAAGAATTTGTTACAGTTTCTCAAGAAACTGGAGGAAAAATCATATGCTAAAGAAGCAGAAAAAACACACCTTAGTTCAAAGACAAAGGTACAATTTCAACTCTGAGTAGAATTTGTCACCAAGGATATTGGTGCCTTATCTTATTCACAATCATGTATGGCTATACTTGACTCAGGAGGAAAAGGAGGCTGAGATTAAAAAGCTAAGACAGAGCCTCAATTTCAAAGCCACCCCAATGCCAGGTTTTTATCGGGGCAAATGATATCAAAAAATCAGTTAGATATGGTATGCCTTAATTCTATTTCCTTTCTCATCATTAAGTTTACATTTCTTTTTCTTGTGAAGGTTGATTGGATCTCAGTAAGTATTTGTCTGGTTGTGTTGTCATTTTTTTTCCTGAAAAAAAAAAAAAAAAAAAAAAAAAAAAAAAAAAAAACGGTTTGGAAAATTGTTTCTAAAAACTATTTTCAAGATTCATTTTATAAAAACAATCCACTTTTGTTTTCAAAAACATGAAAATGAAAATAAAAATTAAACAATATTTTTTATTTGTTTATTTATTTATTTGTTTCCAGGAAAAAAATATAGAAAACAAAAAATGAAAACACAACCAAATAGACACTTTCCTTTTTATTTGAGCAAAGGCAATATGCTAATGTATTCCTTCCTACCAACATTTTGTCTCTCATGGTAGTTGGAAATGGTGGGGCCAAAAAAGTTAGGTATCCCCTCCACTCATCATTCTGAATGTTATCTTGAAAGTTCCTTTGTGCAATTATAGGATAAAGGAACAACTCAGGTTTTCAGTAGAACTCAACTACTACTAGTACTAGATAAGTTATTGCTGCTGGTGGGAGATGGATGGAAAGGCCAATTGTTGCTTTCTTTGCTGGCAAGGTTCTAAAAAGAGGTTGCGGTCGCTGTAATGGTGGCGGTGACGTGGTTGCGGTTGCGGGGTGTAAAGGCCATAGCGTAACGGTTGCAGTAACCGAAACCGTAATTTTTTTTATTTTTCGCACAATTTGAAAAAAACTTACAAATATGCATATTTTCTTTCCATGATCATATTTATTGGGTTTAAAATAAATATTGATCAATTTTGGTAAATTTTTAAGTATGATCCAATATATTTCATATTTTTAAATCACTATAAATTGAATTTTTTTTATTTTATTTTAATAATTAATGACTTTATATTGTACAAAAAATCAATCGCTAACTAGTATATATAAGATAAACAATGACAGAAGTAAGAGAATAAATAAGAGCCTAAATATATATATACATATTTTAATCAAGCCAAATAGATAATGACCACACTTATTATTATCATTATTTTCAAACAACATATAAATAGACACACACAAACAAAATGGTTAAGTGATAGCAGTTGAATAAAATAGCATAGGTCTTATAGCTTTAACAAATTAATAACACGTTCTTCATCTTCTCTCTTCTCTTTCTCTTTCTCTATCTCTTGCTCCTCCATCTTCTCTTTTTATCTTCCCCTTCTCTCTATCCGTCTTTTCCCATTTTCAACCTTTTTTTTTTGTGTGTTTTTTTCAAAAGAAGCAGTTCGGAACCATTATGGTGCGTGACAGGCCGTTACGACACCGTTACGACCGCTACGGCAGCCGCTAAGGCCGACGCACCTATGAATTTCAATCACACTGCAAAAGCGGCTGTAACGGGTGGCGGTAACCGCTACAACCGTTACGTAACGGTTGCGGCCGCTTTTTAAAACCTTGTTTGCTGGTAAAACTGGTATTGATTTGTTTTCAAGTGGGCATCACATTGAGAACTCCGTCGGGGTTGTTAACAACTCCGCCGATCCCAAGCCCGAGTTAAGGAGGAGGGTTGCGTGTTAGGTAGCCAACAGCCAACAAGTAAAAAAGCCGCTCGGATCCCTTATGAAAATAAATCCTACTTTGAATCGTTTAAATGCTAGGTCGTTTCCCTCAAGTGACGCGTTGCGCCTGCCTCCGGGTGTTTCGAAAAGTGAGCAAGGGGCGCCGCATCGACGCTTGGGTGCGGTGAAAAATGGGCAAAGGTTTCCGCGTTTTTCTGGACGAGCACGAGTAAAGAAGCTAGTCCAAGACTATAGGTTTAGGATAGCCACTTGGAAGTTGGAACACAGGAACCTTAACTGGTAAGACGATGGAATTGGTAGATGTTATGATTAGGAGGAGAGTTAGTATAGCTTGCATACAAGAAACTAAGTGGACGGGAGAGAAAGCTAGGGAAATTGAGGATACTGGTTTTAAACTTTATTATAGTGGTAAGGATAGACGCAGGAATGGGGTAGGAATCATAATTGCCAAGGGTCTTGTGGAAAATGTGGTGGCGGTTACTAGGAAAGGAGATAGGATTATGCTAGTTAAACTAGTTATTGAAGGGAATATAGTGAATATTATTAGCGCTTACGCCCCTCAAGTAGGGTTAGATGATCAGACTAAGAGGGATTTTTGGGAATAAATGGATGAGATCTTACAGGAGATACCCGTAGGAGAGAACCTGGTTATAGGTGGAGATTTTAATGGCCATGTGGGCATAGATAAAGTAGGCTATGAAAGGGTGCATGGTGGATACGGTTTTGGTGATAGAAATGAGGCTAGAGAGAGAATCTTAGATTTTGTGTTGGCTTCTGACCTGGTGGTGGCCAATACTATGTATAAGAAGAGGGAGGAGCATTTGATAACCTTTAAGAGTGGATTAGTTCAGAGCCAAATAGATTATTTCTTAGTGAGAAAAGTGGACTGCCTAAAATGCAATGATTGTAAGGTGATTCCTGGTGAGAATCTGGCCTCTCAACATAGGATTTTGGTACTAGATTTATGTTTTAGAGGGCAATACCAAGTTAGGAAGGATAGTGGGCATCGTAGGACAAGATGGTGGGACTTAAAAGGGGATAAACTAGAAATATTTAAGAATCGAATGGATAAGGAAGGTACTTGGGACTTAGAAGGTGCTCTTAATTGGAGAATATTATGTTCAAATGGACTATTAATTTGAATTCTAATTTTCTTTAACCAAATATTGAATTACACATTTTATTAAATTATTAGTCTAATTTCAAGATTATGTCCATTCAAACAAAGTCTAAAAGTGCAAGAAATTTTTTTGATAGATTATTAAACCAAAAAAAGCTAATTATACTTGGCAACTTTACATTTTTATTAAAATTTAATTTTGACCCCTTCATATTTAATTTTAACAATTAAACACTTATATTTTAAGTTAAATTATAATATATCACTCCTCCATCAATCTGAGGTTAATAAGATTGGTAAAATTAATGCCATCGTTTTGAAGTATAAAGTAGAAGAGTATGAATCTCATCATATTCTATTTTATAATTCGAATCAAGTTAAGCCGGCAATCATGGCTATTCAACTATCACCTTTAGCGGAAGGGTTTGTTTGGTACATTGTTTTTCTCTCACTGTGGGTCCTTCAATTGTCACAGTTAGCAGGCACGCCAAACAGAAAAAAGCACAACCATAACAATCAGTCACTACTGTCCTAGATTTTTTTTTTCTTTTCTTTTCTTTTAATATTTAAAATTTTATATTAATAGTCAAAATTCACTCAAATGTCTCGCAACAGAAAAAAGTTATTAGATGGTCTCAGGCAATAATTCTTTCATCAATCAATAAATGTCATCTATTATAGTCCAACGCCAAGGGATGAATCTCACTCTCCCTATCAATTCCTCACCTTCTATTCCTCACCTTCTACTCCTTTTATCAATCATGATACTCTTCAAGCACCATCTCAGACCATGCCCACCACCCAACCACCAAATAACTTCTCCCAATTATTTCATTTCTCATTCTATTTACCAATCATAATATACTTAAAATACTACGTGACCACATGCCTAAAATACCACGTGACGACACCAACTTACTTCTCCCATGCATAAACATAAAATATGCACTACCATATGAAATTCTTGACAATTTTATTTTGATACCATAGACATCCCCAAGCATGAAGCTCTTATTTTGATATAATGTTACTTTTAGAACTTTCAATTTTAGTGCTCTAATCCGGACTGTTTTACAAATCCTCTCTTTTCTCTCTCTCTGAGTCAGCAATACAAATTCTATATATATAGGTCTCTTTCTCTCACTTCAATTATTTGGATTAGCACCCAACAGGTCAGCTGCATCTACCACGAAAAGTGGTCAGCCTGCCATATGAACTTTCAAACAAAGAATAGTACCCCACTTCAACCCCTCACCATTCAAGTGTGTCCATCCTCACCCTGACAAAAGCAAACACAGCCACGTACCTTCCCATGTCTTTTTATCACACAACCCACCCACCTCTCCCAACTCGCCTTTTCATATTATTTATGCACACTCACTCAACGCACATTCAATATTTAAAACACCATAAACAAACAACTTTGTTTTCATCTTTATATATATACACTTGTGCTTGCTTTGGCAAACTCATTTCCACATCCTATTATACAAAGGAAATCAAATTTTGTTGCAACAATTCAAAGAACAAAACTCAGAAAATTTCAAAGCAGACACATCTACTTACTCCTCACCCTTCCAATTACAATGCAGGACTAGACTCGCAACAATATGTCTTAAAAAACTCACCACCTAAAAACCCAAGACAATGGACTTTTTACTCTTATTGCAGGATCATCCATCTCTCTCCTCATCCATTCAAACCTAATTACATATACATTTTGCATATTCTCTCATTCAAACACAACCTCTAAACAAATGATTGAACCATTTCAACCTTGTATATACAAAAGCAAAAAACAAAACAATGTTACAAGTCCTCTTCTCCCCAAAATTCATCTTCTTGCCTCCCCCCTCCTGCTTTTGGAGGGTGTTTTTGCTTTTTTTACTTTTATTTTTATGCCACAACGGATATGCTTCTGCGATCTCGGTTTAAGCAATCGAACCCCTCGACTCTCACAGTGGCCTGTTTGTGACCAGATTTCACCCAAACGCATGATCCTCCTTTGCGTGCGGACGAGGATGGAGATTTTGGCAGAATGGGTGCCTGCAGTAATGGACTAAACATGTTGCCGAATTGCGAGTCTTGGATTATAGGGTTTGAAGCCCTGCTGGGTGGAGAGGACTGAAAGAGGTCATTGTCGCTAGTCCAGGTGCTGTAATCAACACCAATAGCCCATCCACTCGAGTCACCTACTGTGTAAACTGTGGCCAAACTTGGCACAGCTGAACACAATCCTATGACCAAACATACTATTCCCACACAAGAACTTGCATATTCTGTGTATTTGTGCCTCTGTATCAGAGAGAGAGAGAGATTTGCATTGTGTGTGTGTGTCCAGCCGTTGATCAGATTGAAGGGACTGCAGCGACGGATTAAGGTCAACAGTGGTGGTAGATGAAGACGACCGAAATGGTGGTGTATGGGAGGACAACAGTGAGAGGAGGGGCAGTGAAGGTGGTGGACTCGAAGAAATTTCAAGGTATGTGTAGAAAATTCTAGCGGACTAGGTTGAGGTCCGGCGGGCGGCCAAGGCGAGGTTGCCGCCCGCCGGTGAAGCGAAAAATACTAAGTGCTTAACCTAGCTCTGATACCATGTTAAAATACAATGTATAAAGAGAAATAGAGAATTGTGGTTAAAATATAATATATAAAGAGAAATAGAGAATTGTATATATATGGATTGTATTATTTATTGTTGTATGTTATTTTGATTATGTTTACAATGAGTCCTATATATAGAAGATTAGAACGATAAATATTCAGGATGACGTGCCATGGTGTATGCTTTTTGCAGACGATATTGTGTTAGTGGATGAGACTAGAGAAGGAGTTAACACAAAGTTGGAGATTTGGAGAAAAGCTCTTGAATCTAAAGGCATGGTCGATTGCATAGTCCGTATGGTCAGAGAAGAAGGTGATTGCTGAGTACATATGGATTGGTGGTGCTGGCATATGGACCTCAGAAGCAAAGCAAGGACTCTTGCTGGACCTGTGAGTGACCCCAAGAAGCTTCCAAAGTGGAATTATGACGGATCTAGCACAGGACAAGCTCACACCTGGTGGTGAGCCAAGTCCAACAAACAAGAGGTTCAACTGTGAGAGGAGGGGCAGTGGTGGTGGACTCAAATATATTTCAAGGTATGTGTAGAAAATTCTGGCGGATTAGGTTGAGGTCCGGCGGACGGCCAAGGTGAGGTTGCCGCCCGCCGGTGAAGCGAGAAATACTAAGGTCTTAACCTTGCTCTGATACCATGTAGAAATTTAATGTATAAAGAGAAATGATTGTATTATTGATTGTTGTATATTGAATGTTACAATGATTTCTATATATAGAAGAGTAGGTGGTAGTAGGTGGTAGATGGAGTAGGTAAAGTGGAGGTGGTAGTGGTGTAGTGGGTTAGGTTTAGTGGAGTAGGTGAGGTGGTAGTGGTGTAGTGGGTTAGGTTTAGTGGGTGAAGTAGGTGATAGGTTTTAACAAATGAAATGGCCTTTGATAGGACCACGTGGAGAAGAAGGATTCATGTAGCCGACCCCATTTGATGGGACTTAAGGCTTGGTTTGGTTTGGTTTTGTTGGGCATGACATTGAGCAAGTCATGGTAAACATGACATCCTCTATTAACTATTAAATGTTCGTTTGTAATTGAGATTGGAGTGCTATTTGTCCGTTTTGGAGTCTTTTATGTCACGACTTCAGCAAAAACTATCCTTGTTTTGATAGAGTATTATTAAGCAAAGTCCTTTGAGAACTCTGCGGTTACTTAGGTTGTGTGTGGCAGAGCAAGTTTGAAGAAGGGTTCTGACAAACTTTTTAGCTGTGTATAAATGTGAAAATTATTTTAGATCATGTCTCTCCTATAAGTTGGTCTGGGCAATTTTACAGAACAGGATTGCAATGACATAGGGAGAATGGTCCTTTTTATGCTGTATATCATTATTTTGGTACAAATCCGTCTTTAAAAATAGATCCATCGTGGAAATTGGTGGACAATTGAGTCAGTTTTTGATAGCTTTGTTTCATAAGATGGGAAATGCTTATATCACCTCTCATTGTGCGGTGGTTAATATTGGTATGTGTAAAAAGTGTATTGAAGTATGTGAAAAATGTGTAGAATTATAAATGAAAATATGTGAAATGCTTATTGAAATTTTATTTTATTTTTTGACATTATTTGGTTCATGCCCAGCGGGCAGTCGTTAGTAGGACCCTTACAAGATTGTGAAAGTATTGGTCAGTGTTAGGTAGTGGTCTCTCATTTTCTATGGTGTCATAATTTGGATTACTAGTTTGTACCATAAATTATTTAAAAAATAACTAAAGCGATTCACTTTTTATGGGATGTCAATGATGTCCTACGGATTCATGAAAGAAATAGGTACCAATTTTTGTGGCTTGGGTGAATAAACATGCCCAAACCGTTATATTGGGCAGGATGATTCTGATTAACCTTTTGGTGCTTTTGTAAATTCCAGGTTTGAACCTCCTGGATATCAAGTTAAATCGGAATTAACGTATATTGATATATGTTTGCATCATTCATAACAAAGGGGGAAAAAAAAAGAAAAGAAAAACATAGAAGGAAAAGCAGAGACAGAAAAAGTTATGCATAGGATCAATGCTTCATGTCCGACAATATCTGGCTTTTCTATTGGCTTTGTTTGTTTATTATTTACCTTTTCTTTTCTTTTCTTTTTTTAAATTTTATTTTATGTCTAGTTCTACTTAACATAAACTTACAGCATGTGGTTCTACGATGCAGGAAAATGCCAAGAATGAACACCATCATCGCCGACCAGAAATGCACAGGTGAAAGTTTCATGCACAATTAACTGAGTTAAATGAATTCATGAATCTTTGTCAAAGATTGGAATGTGGGCAGATGAACAAGCGGACAGGACACGGGCACGTGTGAAGAAGAAATTGATTTAGTAAGATCTCCATGCCAGACTGTTAATGCTTAATCAAAAGCAACACCATTGATGAGTAGTAGGCTGTATCTGTATAGTTAGAGCAGACAACCCATATGGGCCGAGGCTCTTTGTTATCTTATATTTGACAAACTCTTCCCCTCTTTGGCCTGCCTTCCCTTTGAATTGCCTTTGAAAAGTAAGTGTCACTGTAATGTTTTTGGATTACGTAGAGAGGCGTCCATCCATACAGATAACATGAATTCCCTGTAAGTTGCATATTCATATATATTATTTGTTCTAGACATTGTATGGTTGCCCATATATATATGTATAAAACTCGCTTTTTGTCCTGCTCATTCTTGTACCTTTTTCACAATCCTTGGAATGTATAGTTCTCTGTGATTGGATACTAACATTTGATTAGATAGATTTTCTGTTGTGCCATGGGCATGCAGTAAATGTAGATAAAATGTCGACTTGTGATTTAAAATTTCTCTATTTCGATTTGGTGTTTAAAGTTCTTTAAAAACATTTTTCAACTCATACACAGTTACAAGTATGCTAGTATTCATTCATACCATCACTTTGCATTTGTGGGTAGCAAGATATTCACTTGATTTGCTATTCTTATGTTATGTTTGTTTTGGCAGAAAATATTTTCCAACAGAAAATATTAACCTCAAAGCTGAATATAAATAGGTGGGGTGGCGGCAGCGGTATTGATAGTGGCAGTGGCATTAACAGTCACAACCTTAAACACTCTATCTATTAATCTCAAAGCTAAATATCACAGTGCAAAGACATAATATTTATAAATTAAAACCCTAATTCAAAATAGGAAATTAAATCCTAATAGAAAATGAAAAACAAATATTAATAAAACTCCCAATCAAAATATAACTCTGATATTAAACTATAGTTAAAGAAAAAAAAAAAACTAAATGCTAAAATAAATAAAATAAGAAATACTAAAGACAATTATAAAATAAGAAATTATATCTCCATCACACGTTTCGCATCATATCTTTCTTGAGTTTTCTCAGTAACTTGATTAGATAGATCTTTGAAAGTTCAAAGAAAATTTCTCTGACTGTGCCAAACATATTATCAAAAATAAATGTAATCACTCAAATTATGTTTATGTACCCTACATTTAAAATTTCTCTGGCTGTGCCAAACATATTATCAAAAATAAATGTAATCACTCAAATTATGTTTATGTACCCTACATTCTATCTCCACTGTGTACACCCCCCTGTTGAAATAAGACCTATTTAGAAGTCATCATCATCTGATTCACTTGAATTGCTGTTCGACTCGTCCGACAAAAAATTTGCCGGCAATATCGGGAACCTTACCGAAATCTTCCTTGTCGGGGACTTCGGCGATGATGATCCAACATTTGTTATTGAATTTTTCCTCTTCTGCAGGTTTTTAGCAATACCAATGCAGACCTGATCAACCATGCCTAAGAAATCTTTAACTATAACAAATAGTTGAAAAGGGTGTTTCTTTTTATCCTTAGAAGCCCCTGGTTGGTAGTACTCTGTTGTTCTCTTCACAAGCTCCATCACTCTTGTTTGCTCTTCACTCACTGCTATTATTTCTTCTTCTGCCGCGTCAAGAAAACTTTTCATCTCCCTCACAAACCCTCCTCCTTCGGCATTGCCGCACCTTGTCAAAAGTTTGCGAATTTCAGCAACACGGGCTGTGAGAGCCGGGCACGTTTTAGCAAAGGTGTCGTGGTCTATTGTAGCCGCTTTCTTTACATTTCCAAACTCGTCACTAAGGCCTCCTAGCACTGGTAATCCAAACATTAAATATTCCCTCTCTCTATCGTCTTCTAATATCAAACTGTCAGAATTTTGGCCGCTATGGTTGCTGCTCCGGCTGCTAGTGTGACTCAAGCTGCGATTTCTATTGGTAATGCAACGTTTACCCTCTGCTCGGACCACTTCTTCCACGACAAAATGAAGTAATGTGGTTTTTCCATCTGCGCTCTTAACGTCAGAGAGCTTTCGGAGAGATGTAAGGTTGAAAGCTTGCGCATGCCCTCGGGAAGTTCCGGCATTCATGCGATTGCCAGCCTTGAGGATGGTTTCTAGAAGTTTCAAGAAGAGCCCGCGAGTCCTGAGCTCCTTGCAACCCGATTCAAGTGTTTGTAAAGTTTCCTTGATGTAGAGAGTCTCCGAATCGTAATTTGATCTGAAAAGCATAGCGTTGAAACAAGCAAAAGCTGATGGAACAGTTCTGAGGAGGTGGTAGAGGAAGGATTCAGCGTCGGCAAGCCTTGAAGGTTCTCCATCAAATGCTAGAATTTTGGATTCTTCTTCGTCAGTGGGGGCTATTGTGGTAAGCTTTTCGAGAGTGTCTGCATTTAGACCTTCCCCTTCCGAGAGTGCATCAATGATATCTTTGCGCGAAATGGCTAGGGACCGGAGCACAATTGCTATGTTTTGGGACTTCCGGGCATCAAGGACGACAATCTGAGAAGTTGGATTTGATCTTTCACTTCTTGGACTCAATGAGTTGATGTTAATTCGAGGGGATTTTCGGTTGGTTGCAACAGTTCCAAATAGGGCTTCCATAAGATCACCGTCAAACCTGAATCACCAATAGACAAGTTTAGGCCTCGTTTACTAATATTTCTGTGTGTGTGTGTGTGTTTTTTTTTTTCATTTACATTTTTTTTAGAAATTGGAAACGAAAAGTTGGATTATGAACATTAGAATTCTATAGATGATTAATACCTGAAAGAACCGCCATCCACTTTGTGCAACACCATTGAATGATCAACATTAGGATTCACCTTATCCCGGTGCAAGGGCCTAAGTTTAACCTGATCACTCCCATCTCCTATCATGCCTTCTTTAGAGGAAGACTCGCCTCGCTTGTTGTCGCTTGGCAAAACTTTTGGCGGCGGCGGCGGTGATGTTGATGATGAAGCCAAGCTTAGTGCTCTATGTGATGGTGGTGCCAGACTTTGTGTCTTTGGTATAGCCAATAAAGGTGTTGGCAGAGGACGAGGAGGTTGTGGTGGTGCCAGACTCTGTGTCTTTGGTGTAGTCAATACAGGTGTTGGCAGAGGAGGAGGTGGTGGTGGTGGTTGAATTGGCGAGTCTTCTTTCTCCATAGCATTGAGAACAATCCCATCCGAGCGAGAAGTTGAAGACTTGCCTCGGAGTAAAGAAATTTCTTTTATGGTTGGTTCAGATTTCTCGCTCCTATCACATCTACTTATCATCCATTTTTCATCTTCTGAACTGTCATTCAAAACCTCTGTATCGAAATTATTGATGATGTTACCCTCTTCTAATCTTTTCCAATAAATCGCATCCAAACCATTCTCATCAACAATCACCCTGCTGATATTCCCATCAAATCGCACGAATTCATCACGAGGCACCACTCGATCATCCCTGTAGGGATTACTACTAGTATTTTCACCATTCTCTCTCCTACGCCGTGAGTATCTCATGAGTAAAAAGAACAGCCATGCTAGCACCAAAGTGCTCGCTGTAGTTATAGCAACTGCCTTAGTGACAACCTCTTTTGAAAATGACTTTCTGTGTTGGGGTGGTGGCGATGGTGGCGATGGCGGTGGCGGTGGCGGTGGCGGTGGTAGCGTTGGTGGTTCTGACGGACTTGGTGGAGTTGGAGGAGGTGGAAATGGATAGAAGGTCTGAATATTTTGTGGTGAATTGCATTGAGAAGAAGAGAGAGGTATTGAAGAAATGAAGAGAGAGAATAGGCAGAGAGCTACCCATTTCTGAAATTTTGCAGCCATGAAATTTTTTGATAGAATTGGAGAGAAGTTGAACTAAACATTTGTTATTTAGTGTTTATTTGGGGGGAATTGGAAGGTAGTGTTTAGGCGTCTGCTTTTGGTTGTTAGGTTGCTGACTGTTTCAATGTGGAGTTGTTGATTGTTTCTTTATTTGAAACCTTCCCGGGCTTTTTGTATTTGAAATGACTATAATATCCTCTTCTCGTAACAAATATTACAATTGCAGATTAAGGGTGTTTTAGAACTTTTATTATTTTTTTTACTAGAGTAATATCATACGGAGTCATAAAACATCAAAAAGTGGTATACATCAATGACTATAATATAAATTTATCTATGGTGCATATTGTTTAAAGGGTGTGCATCGTATGCACCTTATAATTAAAATAAAAAATTACATAATTTTAATTTTTAAGTCATAATTAAAAAAATATATATATTATAACTAAACACAATATGAGGCATAATTAAAGAACTCATAAGTCATAATTAAAATAATATCATAATTAAAGAAGAAAATAACATAATTAGAAGTGCATATGATACACCATTTTTAAATGGGTGTATATTAGAATTTCCGTAAATTTATATTTAGGTTTGTTTGGCAGTCACTGAAAAGCTTATTTGCTAAAGTAACTATTTTTGTTTAAAAAGTCTTAACTCATTTTGATAAATTCATTTTTTGCCAAATAGCTCATTTTAGCAGTTCTAAACAATTTATTAGAAAAGTAAAAAAACTAAGAATTTGCCAAACAAATAAATTTTTTTAGTATTAATTATATATATATATATATTTTATTTTGGAGGGGGGGGAGGGGGGTTTATTTGTAAGACTAATGATTGGTTCACCAAATTTAAACTCGCTAAAATTGCCTGAATTACATGAGTCGGATGATCGGCGTCACCTTTGTAAACTAGGAGTGAGTAGCGGATATACCTATTCGTCTAAACCGATCGAACCGAACTAATCCGCTGCATTTTGGATGGATGCGTGATGATGACTGAACGGTTGCAGATTAATTTTTTTCAATCTGCCTAGTTTTGGACGGATGGCGGATTTGAGGTTTCTTTAGTCACAACCGAACTGCCAAATTACGAGCACTCCTAATAATTTGTAAGATTTTGTGTTTTCAATTTGTTTAGATATTTTGTTTGTGTTTTCAGTTGAAAAAGAGTTTGAATATTATGTTGAATATATTCTATTAAAAAAGAGTTTTCAACTTGAATATATTTTTTGAATTAAAAAAAAGTAAATGTATTATTTATCTATATTTTTTATTTTTAAACCTAACTCTAAAAATAATAAATAAATAAGATTATTTATGCTGGTTGGTTTTTATTTTCAAAAACAAATATAGATGTAACAATACAGAGGCATACAATCTCTACTACTACTATGTTCATGGTTTTGGTGGTTTGAATTATTTTTATATTTTAAGAACCACAAATTGTAATACTTTATGTGAATGAGCCATGTTGTGATTGTAATATGTGGATGAGGCATGCAATGATTGTAATATTCTAAAGTTTTAAACTTTCTTTTTTTGGATGAGACATGTAATGATTGTAATACTTTTTTAAGTTATTGATTGTAATACTCTTCTTTTTTTTGAGGAAGTGCATAAGTTAAATTATGTTAAGAATTTATAAAATTTTAAACTACCAAACTGATTCGCATCCATCTATCAATTTGCCAATCCACTCAATCCACATCCGCCGAATTGGCGGATGAATGCGGATTGATATTTTCCAATCCACCAATATAGCAGACGGATGGCGGATTGGAGGTCCCGTGACCATAACCGATCCGTGCTCACCCCTCTTGGCAACCACGGCTGTTACTCTTGTCATTTGATGTGTCAACCGACATTTACTTAGATGACCGGTCAGACAATCGACATGTACAAATTTAAACAATTCAGATGATTCAAAATTTGATTGATGTAGCACTAATTTTAACCAATAAGCTATAGCTAATTAGCTAACTCCTAGAGGAAGCATCTCCAACGGTAGTAGGCATTTTACCTATCCAAATATTACTATAAAGTATATACTTTATTTTGCCTATCAATTGTTTTATGTTTTTACTCCAACCATGCTCTTTATTTTAGCTATTTATCCAAATACTATTAATTTTATAGAATGCCACGTCAACAATAAAGATGGAGGGAAATGATCCTAATGATTAAATACATTTTGCCTAGCGTTGAAGGCTAGCTACATGTAGCTAGTGAATATGAGTTGAGCCAAAATGCCTAATCATATGCCTAGTGCATTTGAATTGAAAAAAGTGAATCACACTAGGCATTTTAACTAACAAGTATTATATGCATAGTGCATTGGAGATGCTCTTAGAGCATGTTTGTTTGGACGGGCTGGATAAGGGGGGATTGTAATCCATCGAACTGTTAGTTTTGGGATACATTGTCCCCGGACTATTTGGTTGGACTGGATTTGTATCTTATGTTTGTTTAATCACGGGATTAGATGTCTGGATTGGACTATTTTTAGTTAATCTAATATTTTGTTGAACAGACTGGATAAGGATAAATGTTCAAAAGACTATTTTACCCTTGTAATTTATAATTTTTATTTAATATATAATTTTAAATTTGTAATCTATAATTTATAATTTATAATTTAACAACACTAAAAAAATTTAATTTATAAGGCCATAATTTGTAATTTATATTCTTTATTTAATATATAATTTTAAATTAACAACACTAAAAAAATAATTTTATTTAATATATAAATTTAATTTTTTAACAACACTAAAAAAATTTAATTTATAAGGCCATAATTTTTAATTTATTATTTTTAATTAAATATAATTTATAATTTATAATTTTTATTTGATATTTAATTTTAAATTAACAACACTAAAAAAATAATTTATAAATATTCAAAGTCTATTTTATCCTTCTCCAATTGTTTATTAAGTAATAGCATGAGGGTAAAATAGACATTTCACACATTAGTCTGATGGGATACCAATCCCATGGAAATAATCACACCCCTTCCCTTAGGATACAATAATCTCTCATATGAGGGACTAATAGTCCGGAGGGACTATTAGTTCGGAGTAAAAAAATTTGAATCAAACAACTGACTATTATCCTGGATGGACTAATAGTACAATCCCATGGCCCAATCTTTCAAAACAAACACTACCTTGTGTTTGTTTGGACGAACTGGATAGGGGGGGATTCTAATCCATCGGGCTATTGGTCCTGGGATACATTGTCCCAAGACTATTTGGTTGGACTAAATTTGTAACCTATGTTTGTTTAGTCATGGAATTAGATGTCTGTATTGGACTATTTTTAGTTATCCAATATTTGTTTGGGATATTATGGAGAAGGATAAATGTTCAAATGGCTATTTTGTCCTTTTCAATTATTTACTAAGTAATAGCAATATTAAACATAGTTTTAATATTTTAATTATTTTTAGCTAGATTAAATAAAAATTTGTTTTATTTTATTTTTTGCACAATATTTTAATTATTTTAATTTATTATTTTCAATTAAATTAAATTTATGATTTATAATTTATATTTTTTATTTAATATATAATTTTAAATTAACAACACTAAAAAAATAATTTATAAATGTTCAAAAGACTATTTTATCATTTTCTAATTGTTTGCTAAGTAATAGCATGGAGGGTAAAATGGACATTTCATAAAATAATCCCATGGGATACCAGTCCATGGTTTTTATCCCACCTCCCTCATGGGATAGGATAGTCCCATATTTGTGGGACTAATAGTTCGGGGGGACTATTAGTCCGGAGGAAAAAAAATGAAACAAACAATGGACTATTAGTCCGGTAGGACTAATAGTCCAATCCCACCCCTTAATCCTTTAAAACAAACACACCCTTAGGTCATGTTTGATTCACAAGACTAATAGTGAAATATTAATAATCTTATCACAGTTAGTGCAGTATTCACTACCCAATTGAATTAATGTAAATCATACTCAATCACAATGTATCTAGTCCCTTGTTACTATCGCCTAAATTAATCACATAATTGGTCAGCGGTGGCTTACAACTGTGGGGGCAAACATGTTTCGTGGAGCCAACAGGTTCTGAGTAGTTGGTTTTCAATTCTATAATCAGTTGCGGTGGTGGAAACATTTATTAAAAAATTTAGTGTTAGTTGACAAGGTTTATAGATTATCCGTGTAATGGGGGGGGGGGGACTGCTATCGAAGGAAGACTTCATCAAATTTCCCTTCATGTTTTGCATTTGGAAAGTTTCTCTGAGTCAATAAATATTTATTATGTTTTGCATATATGGCTAGCTATGAACGAAATGTCCAAGGAAAGTTAGGCCCTGTTTGGTGATTGATTTTAGTTTTTTTTTTAGTCTATATTAAGTTATTGATTGTAGTTAGTTTTTGCTTATAACTTGTGAGATATAAATAGTTTATATAAATTTTAAAAACAATATTGAATATTTAGAAATTGAGAGAAAGGCATTTTTAATTTTTACTTTATGATTATCAAATTTCAGAATATATCTTGGTTAGTGCAACTTATTAAATTGTAAATAATTGTTCTTTTTTTAAAAAAAATAAATAAAATGTGTTAGTGTGTTTTAGTGTAAAATTTGTGTTTATAACCTAATGAGAAAGAAACAATATAAATAAATTTTTAAAAAAACAATTAATTATTTAAAAATTAAAATAGATATATTTATGAATTTTAAGTTTTGATTTAAAAAAAAAAAAAATCACCCAATAAGGAAGGAAGAAGGCGTCTCACCCAAATGTTACATATATGTATATATAAACCATAAAGTATAAAGCTAATGCACTGACTTCATCCACGCATATAATGAAAAAGTTGAAAGAGACAAATGCTAGCCTAGGAATCCGAAATTTTGGAGTTTTCTACCTAACCCTATGTTTTGATATCTTATTTTTGAATCTCAAATGGTTTTTAATTTATTTTTTCGAATACAGATTGTTTCCATGAAGTGTTTTGATAAGAATTGAGTATTTTTTTTTTAACCAAAAAAAAAAAAAGAGTTGAGTTTTTGTTCAATTTTAAATCCAAACTTAATCGTCATATTTGGTATTGTAAAGATTATCACAATTTTA